TTAATAAAAGTACTTTTCACTTCAATGAATTGGAGTCAAGGGTTTTTCTTCCTTAAGGGATCAGTCTGGGGCTGGTCAGACATTAGGTGGAATCTGCCTGTGAAAGAAAATTTTACAAATATGTTAGGGTTCCAAGTAACAGACCCAAAGCAATCAAAACTCGAAGGCCTAGACTTTCCTCAAAGTATGAATATATTAGGAATGTTGTATTGGCACAGCTGGTGAAAACCTGACTCTGAAGGACCTGGAGTTTTCCCCACCCAAATCAAAACCCTAAGTTCTTGCCCCCAGGTCAAAAATCCATCACATGACCCAATCACTTTGCAGTCCCAGCTCTGGCTGGCTCTTGTCCATGCCCCTCCAACACCTGGTAAAGCATCCTTGCTCCCACAGGAAAGAATGTTATTATGGCTACACATTCTCCCAGCTATCTCCATCTCCCTCCTCATGTTCCCACAGCTCCAAACAGCCTGGCTGTGGCAACCCTGAAGATGCTCCCAAAATGGCTTCAAGGCTGACACTTAAGTTTGCAAGTAAACATTAGGTATTGAAGGACATATATTTATACAGGTATTCAAAGAAAAACGTTCATATAAGTATATCTAACAGGAAATTATCTTTGAATATAATTTAAGTAGAGACTGATATGTAGATTTTTGCCGGCTCAATTTCAGTAAATCATTAAACTGTAGAGTTTGAAGCAAGAAGTATCTAATCCAGACCTCTTTAATATTCAATGAAACCATTTAAATTGTCCACAAGAAATGGCTGTCCAGTTTCTTAAAAACTTCCAGAGATAGAGAATGCATAATTACTGTTTGCTGTTTGACTATTTTACAATTATTGTAAGATGTTTTTTCCTTATAGTTAAATAAAATCTAAGTAGTATCAACCAGGGGTGAAATCTAAAATTTGTTACTACCGGTTCTATGGGCGTGGCTTGGTGGGGGGGTAATGTGACTGGGTGGGCGTGGCCAATTTTTTTTTAACTTTTAAAAGCATTTTATCTACAACCTTAAGAGATTGCAGGAAAAAAATGCTTTTAGAAGCCTCTGGTGATCAGGCAACTGAGCTGGGATCGCCAGAGGCTTTTAAAGGCATTTTTTTTTCTACAACCTCTTCGGCCGAAGAGGTTGCAGAAAAAAATGCTTTTAGAAGCCTCTGACGATCCCAGCTGAGCCACCCGATCATCAGAGGCTTTTTTTTTTATTTTTAAAAGCATTTTTTTGGCCAAAGAGGTTGTAGAAAAAATGCTTTTAAAAGTTAAAAAAAAACAACCTCTGATGATCACGCAGCTCAGCTGGGCATGGGCGGGGGGGGGCAGGGATTTTTGCTACCAGTTCTCCGAACCACCCGCCACCATCACTAGTGGATCAGGCAATCCAGTCTGAACCGGGAGCATTTCACCCCTGGTATCAACCCATTTCTAGTTCTAATTTCTGTGGCCATGGAAAGTCTGTCCCATTTTCCCTTTAGTTTCCCTTTAGGTATTCTAACATGGCTATAAAGGTAATGATAAAAGTTTCCCCAGGTGTCTGACCTGAGGGAACAGTCCCCATCTCTGTTTCAAGGGAGCCAGTGTTGTCCGAAGACACTTCCATGGTCATGTGGCTAGCATGATTATATGCCATGGCACATAGAACGCTGTTACATTCCCACCAAAGTGGTACCTATTAATCTACTCACATTTGCATGCTTTTGAATTGCTTGGTTGGCAGAAGAACATGGCTATATGTGTCCCCTAAATCAAAGTTCCCCAACCTTTCTGGCTTTATGGACCAGTGCAGGAGGGAGGGGGGATGATTCTATATGAGCGACTGTCAAGTGTGCACATGCTGCTCCATTTGCATGTGCAGTAAGCATGTGTACCCATTGCTCACGCAAATGGAGCGTGTGTGCATGCGCTCACCCACTACCTGAGCAAGTGGAGATGTGTTTGCATACACACATCACCTGACATTTCCACAGCCCAGTTGCAAACAGCTCATGGTCCACTAGTAGACCGTGGCCCAGAGGTTGGGGACCTCTGTCCTAAATCATCTTATCTTCAGATAGAGTTGCAATTCATTCAGTTTTGGCTCACCAGATTAAGCATTCTATACACTTGATTTTTAATGTCTATGTTATATTAATAAATGATTTTTTTGTATATGACACTTTATTAAGTCATATACTTAGGGGGAAAATCTGAATCTTACCTGAACTTCTTTTAAATCAACATAAATATTTCCTTTGTTTTCTGTAGGGAAAATAGTATTTTAAAAAATAATTCATGTATTTGTTCATTCCTTATAAAATGAAATGAGAAGTTATCAAGAAATAAATCACTGTCTGGAGAACTTGTTGATTAAATATCTCTTCCTGAACAGCAGACATGAAAAAGAGAGAAGACTAATTATGAGTACAATAGTCTCTAAGCAAATGTCTTACTGTTTATAAAGAAGTACCACTATTAGTGGTAATTACTTCTTTCTACTGCATTGTTTTTCAACTCATATTGAATATTATTTGTGTGCAAAAATAACCACTTAATTTCCTCTCAAGAAAATAGCTTACACACAAGGAAGATTTATTGAAAATATTAGTTGTAATAACTGTTCCATTGCTGAGGAAAACCAAACGGATTTAGCCGAGTATTTCCTACTCTATTTTCAATAGTACAAAACAATCTACAGCCCTTGCTATGTTTTAAAACCTGGCAGAAGCTGCATGAGTCACAGGATTGGTCCTGTCATTTGGCAGAATGTGATAACTGTCTGAAGCAGATGGTATGGTAAGCCATGGAAAAGAAGCAAGTTGTTGATGATGAAGATGCTCCTCTTGTTTTTTTACTTCCACAGATAGGAAAAGTTACCTATGAAAAATTTGACTTACTACCAAAATAATTTGTCTAGCTTTTGATATTATTCACTTTGATCAGGCTATGAGGAAGAGAAGGAATTGTTACAAAGTACACAATATCCTATATTGGTACTGTTGAGTTAATAACATTGTGTATGAGTTTATATAAGGTACGTTTTGGTGGTTTTGATACTATAGGAAGCATTTAATGGATTAATTTAATCACTATGTGTTCTTCTCTGCTGGTTCCTTTTTGAAAAGTGCAAATTTGGAAACTTGCTATCTACTTAAAGGCCAAAAAAAAAAAAAAAAGTCCCATTCCTAATACTTTTGGAATTATGGTTTAGATAAGTACAGCTGTTGCTATGGCTCAAAAATATCAGCACTACTATAGCCCTTAGGAGAACGTAAGTTTCCCCTTCTAATTAATAATGTTCAGTTCTACTGTGTGTCCATTGACAGTTGCCAAAGTGGCCTTATAGCGCATAGATAAACTCATAATGCTTATAAAAAATCTTTGTGAAAAAGGCATGGAAACATCTCAATATTACATGGGTCTTAAGCATATTGGGTTTTTTGATGGGTTGCCAGGCAGTATTTTCTTCCACCATTTTAAAAAATGGGATTTAACTCTAATAAAGAAGCATAAGCCATGGTTACCCTAGAATATATTGTCTATAAAAACAGCTTTCAGAACTGTAGAGAAAAAAAGAATAAAGAGAACCAATCTTTTGTTCAACTTTACACAAATGTAATAACACAGAAAATGCCAAGTATTTAAAGGTCACATTGTAGGAACATAGGAAATCCCAAAGATCTGTGATTTCTGCCAAAAAGATTGTGCCTACTCGCTCATTGAGTAAATTTACTGCTTTCTTAGAAAATGATAGATATTAAGTTGGCATCTTAATTGCTCTGGCACCTTGCATTGAAATCCCAGTAGAATTCTCTTTCTAAAATAATTAGAATTCTGTAAATCCATGGTGTTGAAGTAAGTAAAACCCCTAGGAACCTGCAGGTGACATTATTTTTCTTCTATTCCTTCATAAATACAATCTCAATGGCATACTGTGTACTTAGTATGTTCTGTACTTAATAATTAGTATTCTGCAAAATTCTTAGGTATTGATTGTCAATCAAAGGGTCATTGATCAACTGGGAGTCTAATCCCTAACGTGCATACATATTGACGATTCAGTCCTATCCAAGGTGGAGAAAGATCCACAGTGATGTCTTTTCTTGCACTTAACTATACCATAAATACATTCCATCAACCTTTTTTTTATACTGCCATGTCCTAATGAATTGTCACATCCCCAACTCATCCCTGCATCATCCTAAAACCATTTGTCCTGGTGTTCAAATGCTAATTGTTGCTTTTTAATCAGGCAACTTGTAGCAGTTCAGATGTGAGTAAACTCTGTTGCACTTCATTTAATCAGTGTTGCAGCCTAATAAGCCTTAGATGGCCTTGCTACTTAGATGCAAACACAGCCATCTTCTTCTCTGATATGTGGACATTATCTTCTGCCTTTGGAAACAGGAGAATCGGATTCTTTCAAACTTAAATCAGACTAAACATCAGTTGATCAGAAATGACAGCAGGGAGGTGCTACCCAGTAAAGTGGAAGAGTGACTTCTGGCAATTCCCTAATGTTATTAAACCCTTATACCAAAGAAGAATAGTAACTGGGAAATAATAATTAGGGTAATTCACCAGTTCCTGTCCTTGATATGCCTTGTACATGCTAAATAAGACACCATCATCTAACGGCATTGTGCTTGCAGCAGGACAGGGATTGCCAAGGGAATAGGGGTTGCTACCTTTCATGTTAATGTAGTTTTATGCTAAAATGCAGTGAAGTGTATTTTAGCTCAATCCTAAATCACCAAGGGAATAAATGTCTAGAAAGTTCATTGCTAGCTGAATACTGAGAAGCTAAGGAGGTTATGTATCTGACTATGGTTCTGGACTATTTCTTCTACTGCAGATTTTTCCTGAGAGAAAGCAGTAGAAAGTGCAGAATATCATACACATCATGTTCTTGTACATATGACACAAATTACACAAACCTCTACAGTTGCATGATAATTTAAATGGTGAACAGCTATAGTTTTTAATTTTTTTCTTTTTACGACCCTCTAATCCTTTTTTATAGGTATGAAGTTGGGGCAACTGAATGGAGCTGAGTGTTTACTTGCTGGATGCCCTTCATGACACCTATACGGAGTTCACAGCAGATAGTTTCTCTTTGCAGCCTAATAAATATCTATCACTGCCTAGGGTTGAACTCAGCCTCTGGAGTATGAGGCAAGGATCTTCATCGCTCTAGCACTGCTCTAGCAATGGTTTTTAAGGATCCAATTTTGGACTGCTGAAATCAAGATACTTGTGTAAAACAACAGAATCTTGTGGGGAAAGGAGGGCAGGCAGTAAAGATATAGAAGCCTGGAAAATAGGTATTTGAATCCAACAGTTTAAGAACTACTGAAATACAACTTGTGCAACTTGAGCTACGTGTGCATGCACATGCACGCTGGCCTATCACTCACATGAGTTTAGCTGCACGTGCACATGTACATGCCAGCCCACTGCTCACGCAGCCTGGTTCCTCTCTCTCCCCCCAGCTGGCCTGCCAAGCTGCAAAGGTTGGGGACCGCTGTTTAGAGTTTTTTTTAATTGTAAATGGGTTCTTGAAGGCTAGTCTTTCAGTATCTTCAGTGAATACAGTGTCATTTCAAGAAAGAACATTTTGTCCATAATCCAATTAAGAAAATGAAAACACCTTGTAGTTTCACCCAGAAGGCTGCACATGTCTTACCCTAAAAGAAGTGAAAGTAACTCAGGATCATTTTTTTAAAATAAGGCCTTGGGCAGCTCTGATCAGAAGCTTGCTTCATTCATTTCTGTTGCCTGCTAGCTGAATCGCTAGCAAATCAGAAGAAAGGTAATTTCATGACAGTTTAGTAATTCAGCACTGGGTAAAATTATAGAGTAATATAAAATAATTATTTCAGCATTTTGAATGCAGAAAAGACATGGAAAAAGAGAAAGAAGAAAACAAAAATTTTTTTCTTCCATTCTGATTATAGGAACAGGAACAGGAACAGGAACAAGAACAAGAACAAGAACAAGAACAAGAACAAGAACAAGAACAAGAACAGAATAGAATAGAATAGAATAGAATAGAATAGAATAACAGAGTTGGAAGAGACCTTGGAGGTCTTCTAGTCCAACCCTCTGCTCAGGCAGGAAACTTATACCATTTCAGACAAATAGTTGTCCAATCTCTTCTTAAAAACTTCCAGTGTTGGAGCATTCACAACTTCTGGAGGCAAATTGTTCCACTTATTAATTGTTCTGTCAGAAAATGTCTTCTTAGTTCTAGGTTGCATCTTTCCTTGATTAGTTTCCACCCATTGCTTCTTGTCCTCCCCTCAGGTGCTTTGGAGAATAGCTTGACTCCCTCTTCTTTGTGGCAATCCCTGAGATATTGGAACACTGTTATCATGTCAACCCTAGTCCTTCTTTTCATTAAACTAGACATACCCAATTCCAGCAACATTCTTTATGTTTAAGCCTCCAGTCCCCTAATCATCTTTGTTGCTCTTTTCTGCACACTTTCTAGACTGGTGATGGTGAACCTTTTTGGCATTGCGTGCCAAAAGTCTGAGCGTGAGAGCGCTCTCACGCTCCCGCATGCCGGCACCCATAATGCAATGCAGGCCCCCATTTGTGCATGCGCACAGGACACATCCCCATGCTCCCCTGCACATGCACCCCGTTGCGCATGTGCATCCCCAAACATGGCCCCCCTTTTTTCCAAGAGGGCCGGTGTTCTTAATGGAGGACAACTAGGTACTGGCCTGTTCCATGGCGAGACAGCCGTTCCCTGGCCAGCGCATGGCGCTGCCAAGATGGCAGGGCCAAGTGCACTGCCAGGGAAGCTCTGAACATGTGGCTTGCCTGGACTCCTTTCTGCTGGGAGCCGCCGTTCCCTGGTTCAGTTCAGCACCCCCACCCGACCCCCACCACTGCACTGCCTGCGGTTGGGCCCGTCACCCGACCCCCGTCACACCTGCTGCTGCGCTGCCAACCGAGCCAACGCCGGGGAAGGAGCAGCGGACAGGGCAGCCAGCTGCCCAGCCAGCAAATACTGCCCTGTGCACCTGAGCTGGCTGGTCGCTTTTGCCCTTCCCCCTACAGCCTGCGGCTCCGAGCAGGGAGGAGCCCAAGTAAGCCGCCGTGCGTTCAGAGCTTCCCTGTTGGAGCCGAGAGCACTTCTGCTGTATGCCGCCATCCCTTCTCTGGGGAAGAAGCGAGCTGCTGGAGGAGCAGGGAGCTGATTGGGCGGCCTCCTCCGACCCAGCTGGCCTGCTCGCCATGATTGCTGGCGACAGCGGCAGCTTGCTTTCATGCCCCGAGCGCAGTGCACAAACTTTCCCCGATGCTTCCCAAACTTCGGTGCAGGGCTGAGGGCGGGCGGGCAGAGAGGGAGGAGCAGGCAGCTGCTATGCCTTGGGCAGTGGTGGAATTCTGCCAGTTCTAGGGGGTTCGGCCGAACCGTTTCTTAAATTGCTGGCTCGCCCCCCCCCCCTTGCCCCACCCCTCCACACCACTGGGCGAGGGGTGGGCGAGCCAGCAATTTAACAAATGGTTCGGTGTTTTTTTATAATTTTATTGGCCTTGCAGCTGCTGCAGGGCTTCAAAGAGCCACCCTACAGCTGATCAGTGTTAAAAGAAAAGAAATGAGTAGACCGACGCCTGCAAAAATAAATGGGTAGACCCAGTGGTGGGATTCTACTTCGGTAGAACCGGTTGTTAAGTAGTTAAGTAGTTAAGCCAGTGGTTGCCAAAGTGGGCGGTACTGCCCCCTGGGGGGCGGTGGAATGCCTTAGGGGGCGGTAAGAGGCAAGGGGGGTGGCAGGAGGGGCTAAATGGCAAGGAGGGTGGCCCCCACCCTTTGCCCTGTGCCTCGCAGCACTTACCTCCTTGCAAGCAAACAGCAAGAAAAAAACAGCCCCTTCAGCTTCAGCATCTGTTAATTAGCACAAGTTGATTAGATCGGCCTCCCGCCTCTCAGCTGATTTGCTCTCAGCTGTTTTGCCAGGGCTCTATTGCTCTCTGCAAAGAGTGCTTGAGCAGATTTTTTCCCCCTAGCCTAGCTATGCTGAAAAAGCGAAACCGAAAGTAAAGCAGGGTCTTTGCTGCAACGTGACAAAATGAGGCAGAGAGAGATTTCTTTTTCCTCACCAAAAAAGGTAGGTGCAAACAATGGGAAATTTAGGGCAAAAGAGGAGAGTTCAAGATTTTAAAACACAAAAGAAAAAAAGCTCTATTTAACTAGGGAATTGTAATAATTGAGATACTATTAATTGTATATTGTGTTCGAAAGCAGAAATGGTTAAGTTGTGGTTTGGAGGAATATATGGGGGAAATTATTTGGTTTATTATTATTGGTAAATATAATTAATTGATTTGTAAGAAATTGGATTGCATGGAAATAATTGGAATATTCATGTTCATATTGATTAATATACAAAAAAGGTAGTTATATAACTAATTGATTTATATTAAAATGTTGAATTTGTATTAAACAACTGTAATATTACATAATTAACCAATGTGAGGATGGATATAAAAATAGATGACAGTGGGAAGGGGTATAATATAGAATAGAAGGGAAAAATTGAATTTGATTAAGATTAGAGATGAGGATGAAGGGTAATATTGGTTTTTTTAAAAAATAGATGAGGAATAAATATGGCAAAAAGGAAATATAGAAATTGTAAATTTAATTGAAATGATTAAACACTGTTTAAATTTGTGAACCAGCCAAATATCTGTTCAAAGAAAATACATTGTATGTTTGTATGTGTGTTTCTAATTATTGCTATTTATTCATATTTGTTCTCTTTTATTCTTTAAAGTTTAACAATTCATTCTTTATCTTAATATCTTTATATTTGTTTAGGGTTGGCTTTCTTCCCTTTCATCTTTTTTATTGTACAGCAATCTTTCTCCTCAAATCTACCACCCCTCTCTTTTCTTTCCTTCTTACTTTCTCTTCCCCCCACCCTCTTCTTCTCCTCCCTACTTCCTCTTCCTTTCTCCTTCTCCTCCTCTCTTCCTCCCTCTCTTACCCTCACTCCTACTCTAATTTCCCTTCCCTTCCTTCATCCCTCTCTATTGCTGTATTCTTTTATGCATATGGACTACTCAGAGGGCTGAAAAAGTTATTTTTGACTGGTCCTTGCACTTTTGACCAGTCCTCGAACTTACGACTGTCCTAACATTTTATGTTTTTGCCCTATCTTGTCACCATGGTGAAGAGAAGCAGTTGTGAAATGAGTGACACGGTTGTTAAGAATGCTACAATGGGCATAAATGATGACCAGTCATAAGTGCGAAGACCGGTCTACTGTCCTCACCTGTCTACTGTCCTCACCTACTCAGAGGGCTGAAAAAGTTATTTTTGATTGGTCCTCGCACTTTTGACCAGTCCTCGAACTTACGACTGTCCTCACATTTTACGTTTTTGCTCTATCTTGTCACCATGATGAAAAGAAGCAGTTGTGAAATGAGTGACATGGTTGTTAAGAATGCCACAATGGGCATAAATGTGAGGATGGTCATAAGTGCGAGGACTGGTCAAAAGTGCGAGGACCAGACAGAAATGACTTTTTTCAGCCCTCTGAGTAGCCCCTATGCAGATAGCCACGCCCACCCGGTCACATGACCAGCTAGCCATGTCCACCCAGTCACATGACCAGATAGCCACGCCTACCCGGTCACACGACCACCAAGCCACACCCCCAACTAAGCCACACCCACAGAACCGGTTGTTAAAAAAATTGAATCCCACACTGGCCTTGGGGCTCTGGGGAAAGGCAGCTGAAAGCTCCATGCGGAGGCCATCAATCATGAGCCCCAGGGGCTCCTGCTTCCAAGGGAATGGCTTGGCTACTTTGAAGCGAGCGGCTTGGAAGCTTCCTCGTTGAAAGGGGGGGAGACGGACGCTGCGCTTGTAGGGGGGAGCGGCACTATATACCTCTCTTTCCACCTGGCTGACTCCGATCCTGGTCCTGCCTCTCCTCAGCTATGAACTGAGTTGTTGTAGTCCACTTCTGCAAATGGCAAAAGTTCTACCCAGTTCATGTGCTGTTAATTTAGATAGCAACATAAATATTGCTCCACCCAGATATTGGTCCATTCGGCCACCCTGTTTGTGCTTGGATGGAACCCTGAACTAAACTCCTGGAAGGAACCTATCAGCTTAAAAAAGAGAGAGAGAGAAGAGAAGAAAGAAAGAAAAAAGGGAGAAAAAGAAAGAAAGAAAGAGGGTGGGAAGGGAGAAAGAAAGAAAGAGAGAGAGAGAGAGAAGGAAAGCAAGAAAGAAGAAAGAAAGAAAGAAAAGGGAGAGAAAGAAGGAGGAAGGGAGGGGGAGGGAAGGGAAGGGAGAAAGAAAAAGGGAGGGAAGGAGGGAGGGAGGGAGGGAAGGGAAAAAGAGGGAAGGGAAAGTGAATGAGATATGGATGAAGGGAGGGAGGGAGGGAGGGAGGGAGAGAGGGAGGAAGCGAAAAAGAAGAGGAAGGAAGGACCACAAACCCTGGCACTAGACATAGTTTCAGAGGATGCTTTGGAACAGCATAGCAATCCAGGGCTGGAAGGGACCTCAGAGGTCATCTAGTCCAACCCCTGCTCCAGCAGGAGGCCTTATATCATCTTGGTTATTTTGGTGCCTCTAACACAGAGGAGAAATTCCCAGAAAAGGGACAGAGTTTACTAGGCAAGGCTGCCATGCAGAGGAAGGCAGAGATAGTCCTCGACTTACAACAACAATTGAGCCCAAAATTTTGGTTGCTAAGCAAGAGCATTCTTAAAGTGAGTTTTGACGCATCTTACTCAATCTATCTTCCAACAGTGGATGTCAATCACTGTGGGCCAGATTGAGAATTTGAGAGCAAAGGCCTGCCGGATTACCGGTGATTGACATACTCATAAAGGAAGGGGAAGGGCATACTTAGTGCATGTCCACCATTGAGCCTCAAATCTCTGTTCCTAAGAGAGACAGCTTTCACCCACTTTACGATCTTTCTTGCCACTGTTATTAAGCGAGTAGTTGTAGCTCTTAAGTAAGTCACATGGTCGTTAAGTGAATCCGGCTTCCCCGCGGACTTCGTTGGTCAGGTTGCAAAAGGGGATCATGTGACTCTGGGATGCTGAGACCGTCATAAGTAAGAGTCAGTTGCCAAGCATCCGAATTTGGATCACCTGAACATGGGGATGCTGCAATGGCCATTAAGTGTGAAAAACAGTCCTAAATCCCTTTTTCCAGTGCCATTGTAACTTGAACGGTCGCTAAGTCAGTCACATAATCGCTAAGTGAATCTGGCTTCCCCAAATCTCAGTTGCTAAGAGAGACAGCTGTTCAGTGAGCTTGGACCCATTTCACGAGCTTTCTTACCACTGCTGTTAAGTGGATTGTTATTTAAGTCAGTCAGATGATGGTTAAGCGAAGCTGGCTCCCTCAATGACTTTGCTTGTCAGACGGTCACAAAAGGAGATCACATCACCCCAGGATGCTGCAATCATCATAAATGCGAGTCAGTTGCTACGCATCCAACTGTAAGTCACGTGACCATTGGGATACTGCAATGGTCATAAGTGTGAAAAATGGTCATCAATGGCATTGTAACTTTGAACAGTCAGTATATGATACGGTCGTAAGTTGAGAACTACCTGTACTATTTTCCAATTTGATGGCAATCCTTGACTTACGACTGTCATGACCAGCCTTCACCGATGTCGTATATCCATACCTAAGATGGTGGGGGTGGGGTGGGGGGGAGCAGCAGCCCAACTGCAGGATCAGGTGTGGGGTGGGGAGAGAGCAGAATATTAGTTTATTTGATTATTTTCTTCATCTGAAAAGTAGGACTGTTTTATCTCCCCACCTTCAAAATTCCCATTTCGTCCATATATCTTGATATCAAGATATGCAAATTGAGGTTCCTTTGGAAGACTTTGAGCTACATGTAGTGAGGGAGGGTTGAGGTTCTTTCTTTCTTTCTCTCCCTTTTCTTTCTTGTCTCCCTTCCCTCTCCCCCCCCTCTCTCCCCTTCCCTCTCTCCTTCTAAGGCTAGGATACCCACCCAAAACAAAAATTCCTTTGGATGAAGCCAGCTTACATACAGCCCCCCCCCCCCCGCCCCTCCCTTCCCATTCATTATCAGGGGGGGATGGTCCGGGTGCAGGGGAGCTTCCACCCCCTCCCCTTCCTTCTCCTAACATGCGTCCGAGACTGTCTGGCTGCAGCAGCTCCCTCAACCCCCGTGTGATTGATCGCACCGTGGCTTCTGGCTGCCAGCATTGGCAGCTAGCTGATTGGCTGGTGGCTAACAGTCCCGGGACGAACAGTGTGGCATCAAATGGCCCGCGCTGCAGCACGTGAGACAAAGGGGCCATGGCCCATTGGCCAGGACGAACAGCTAGGGGCATGTCAGCTGAGGAGAAAAGTTAGCAGTGAATGCCTGGAGGCGGAACCATGGCGGAGAAGCAGGCACGGCCAAGGGTAGGACCCGAAAAGTCCCATTCCGCAAGGCAGAGCAAGACAAAGCAAAAGAAGGCAGCAAGTCACCGGTAACAGCAAGGCTTCTTGAATCATGGCCAGTGTTGCTGGCAAGTACCACACTTGTTCCCGACAAAAGCCCCTTCCCCTGGCGTCTCCTTAAATCCTATTCTCCAGGTAAGCCTTGTGAAGAGGGGCAGGATGCCTTGTCCCAAGTAGTCGGGTCGCCCTTTGCTGACTCCACCTCCTCTTCATTCTCCGTGCTCAAGGATCGGGCAGGGGAGGCAATTGCTCATCTATGGAGCTCTGATGCTCCTCTGTTCACTGCCTGCCCTTTTCATCTCCTCCACCGTTACTCAGTCACCCTGCATCTCTTTTCCTCTCTGATGACCCTTTTGAGGCACAAGGGACCTGGGACTGCCTCGTCCTGGTACTCTGGTCATTCCTCCTGGGCCAGAGAGACTGTACCCTCTTCCTCCATTGGTCCCAGCTCCATCTCCTCCTCCTCCTTGGGACCGGGCTCCTACGGGGCCATGACAGCTTTGAACCACTCATCTTACTGTAGGGCCCTTAATTGATGCATCAACCATTCAAGGAGTTGTGGGGGAGTGGTTCATGATTGCCGCTCTTCAGAGGTTTGAACTAGTTGTTTGGAGGGGATGATAGAGTTGACTATCTTTTCCTGGGTGCTCTTGTACTGGGACATTTGGGAAAGCACATCTGCCAAGAAGTTTTTTTCCCTTGGCAAGCACTTAAGTGTGAAATTGAATCAGTTAAAGTATCGAGTCCACTTGTTTTGGAGACAGCTTTCTCAGTGTCCTCAGGGATTCCAAGTTCTTGTGCTCTGTCCCAGTGGTGAAATGTAAAATTTGTTACTACCGGTTCTGTGGGCGTGGCTTGGTGGTGGTGGTGGGTAATGTGACTGGGTGGGCATGGCCAACTTTATTTTTTTACTTTTAAAAGCATTTTTTCTACAACCTTCGACCGAAGAGGTTGTTTAAAAAATGCTTTTAAAAGCCTCTGACGATCCCAGATGAGCAGTGCAATCATCAGAGGTTTGTTTTTTTTTTACTTTTAAAAGCATTTTTTCGTCCGAAGAGGTTGTAGAAAAAATGCTTTTAAAAGTAAAAAAAAAAAACCTCTGATGATCGTGCGGCTCAGCTGGGCATGGGGTGTGGGGGGCACAGGGATTTTTGCTACCAGGCGATCCGGTCCGAACCGGGAGCATTTTACTCCTGGTCTGTCCCTACTTGAATGTGATCTTACTACCTTCCAAAAACTGCCTCCATGTCAATAATGCCCATCAAATGGCATAAGCTTCATTTTTCCACACTGCCTACTTTCAATGTTGGTGAGTTTGTGGGACATGTAGGCACAGGGCTGCAGCTTCCCTTTGGCATTCCGTTGAAGTAGGACAGCCACCAGCACCATATCACTGGCATTGGCTTGGATGACGAATGGTTCATCTGGGTTTGATTGTTTAAGGATAGGCTGTGCTGCAGTGGTGGGTTCCTCCCGGTTTGGCCCAGTTCCCCTGAGCTGGTAGCGGTGATGATATGACGGTGCCTCCAAAAACAAATGAGTAGACCGGTGCCTGCAAAAATAAATGGGTAGACCAGTGCCTGCAAAAATACATGAGTAGACCGGTGCCTGCAAAAAATAAATGAGTAGACTGGTGCCTGCAAAAATACATGAGTAGACCGATGCCTGCAAAAATACATGAGTAGACCAGTGTCTGCAAAAATAAATGGGTAGACTGGTACAGTTCTGCAAGCAGTTAAAAGCCTGGTAGACCAGTACCTCTGCTAAATCCTAAAGAATTGTCACATGACCATCAAGCCACGCCTACAAAATAAGCCACACCCATAGAACTGGTAGTAAAAATTTTAGAACCCACCCCTGCTCTGCCACAAACAATTGTTTGAGTTTCTCAAAAGCCACTTGGCATTGCATAGTTCAGTTCACTGGCTTCACTGCCCCTCCCCGTCTTTAGCAGCTCTGTGATTCGCGGAGCAATCTGGGCAAATGATGAAATGAACTATCTATAGAAGTTGGCAAAGCCCAAGAAACTTTGCAGCTGTTTTCTAGTCTGGAGAGCTTCCCACTCCAGTATTGCTTTCACCTTCCCGGGGTCTATATCTAGCGATAAAGAGTTTCAAAAGTTTCGAAAGTGATTCAGTCTTGACACATGTATTATATGCAACTGACTTAGCTGTTACTTCATATTATATTATTTTAATCACAGGTTCATCTATAAATTGTGGTTTACAAAACAGTTACAACAGTGTCTACAAGGGGAAAATGATTAAAGTAGTAATAATTGAGACATTGTGACATAGGCTCACTCTTTTGATGCTATAGGCATGTCCAAAAGGGATAGGGCTTTTGGGGATTGATGCTTTGATGCTGTTTTTATCATACCTGCAAAAGGTGCCCTTGAATGGCTGTGTGCAGATGCTGTGCTATCTTCTAAACCAGAGATGCTTACAACAGTTTAACCTTAAATGATAATCATAATCATAACTACTTTATTGTCATTGTATGTGTATACACAGTATACTCATTCAACGAAATTCACCTAACACCCAAAGATCAGGTCCAACACACATAATAATCCCCAAACACACCCCCACCCACCACAAATTCCCTACCCCTAAACCACCCAAACATCCACACAACAGACCAAGTAATGCTGTCCAACAGTTCACTGATGGTGGCCCTTTAGTTCACTGTTGAGTGCAATTATAGCTCTGTCTACAGATAAACTGTCTACTGTCTCACCCCATTTCTAAGAGGTCTGTAAGGGGCATGCATAAGCACACTAACATGCCTACTGTCCCTGTCCTAATGTCCCCATTTATTCGTATCCATTTCATGTATTCATAATCATGTTTATATTTATATCTGTTATCGTATACATGCTTGACAAATAAAAAAACAAAACATTATTTTCAGTAATGTCCAATTTATATTTAAAGTTACAAAATTAAATGCTGACATTGTGATTCAAAATTTAATAGGACTAGAATGTAGATTTTCTGCTGTTATTTTTCAAATCCAACATTAAATGATTCCTTTTAAAATTTGGCTAATACAAACTACTAATTTGAATTCTTTTGACATGCACTAATTTTGGTTTAAGCATGGTTTATTCATATTGGTATAAATGAATCAGAAATTAACAAAAATAGAAAAATTCACAGATGGCTGCAGAGGGGATGCATAAAAAGTAAAGCTGGCAGCCACAATCATGTGATCAAAGCATCACCTCTTCTTTTACATCTAGATTTGCCCCTCCAAATATCTTTCGAACAATTACTTGGATTTATATGAGATTTTATGGCCCTTAAAATTGGTTTTAAAACACCTGCTTCTTGGAATACCAATATGAACAAGCAGAGACAAAGGCTTCTCAGGAGTGGTTCATGAAAATATCTTTGTTATAGGGATATTCATATTTCTATTTAAAATGGATTCTGAAACCTTTTTGTTCTTAAGTCTAGTTTCTTTGGAAATATACTGTTTTTCCCAAAATAAGACATCCCCTGATAATAAGCCCAATTGGGCTTTTGAGCGCATGGCAATAAGGCCAAGCGCTTATTTCAGGGTTCAAAAAAATATAAGACAGGCTCTTACTTTCTGAGAAACACGGTAATATATTGGAGATTTTAACTGCTGTTGTTTTTAGACTGATGGTGGAATAGTATAATTAATTAAATGCTACCTTAATTCTGGGAGCCACCTGGAAAGAACGTTTTCTACAGGGCAGACTAAAAATAAAATTAAATAAATACAAATTGAAATCAAGTAGTAAAGTGAAATTGGTAACTGGGTCTCTGACAATAATTTTTTTCAGCAACAACCTACATATTTTGATAGGAATTAATTAAATCTTTACCCACACTGACATAGAACAGCACCAACTTGATTGGTGCAATATAAGAATCATTGGCCATGCTATCACCCACCATACATGTGAGTTTATTGAAGCTTGGCACTCTATAAACAATTCCATCAACAGACATATCAACCTTAACCAGCCTACGAACCCCAAAAAATTCAAATAAATCACACAACCAAACAGTGTCAGCACCAATCTTCAACCATCCCACAATCCCCACACAACCAGCACGTCACCTCCCAATGATCCTCACCTGATGTGACCTCCCCATCACAAGACCCATCACAAGACCCTCACCTGACATGATCCACATCTGATCCCTCACAAGACCCAGCACAAGACTTTCACCTGATAGGGACCCATACCTGACCCCTCACTAGACCCTCACCTGACACAATGCTACCATCACAAGACCTAGTGACTATACAAAGACTTTATAAGCAGAACACCAACACTGACATTACCTAAATTCCACTGAAGATGTTATCTAGCCTGATAATGAAACATTCAGAAACCAACCCACAAGAACGGAGAACAAACCTCCACTCTCATCCTACACCCGAGCTACAGATATTTGCCACTATTGCAAACTCCCCTTTGTGTTACCTGAACTTCACTAAAATGAAACTTCGGTTTATAAAAGGATCAGACATGCCAAACTTAGTTCATGAACATGACTCTCAAACAATTATAACTAATGAGAAAATGTTAGATGGAAAGTAAAAGCTCACTTTTCTATTTATTTATTCATACAGTTTAGCTCTCTATCCATGGTCTCTGCTGAAGATACATATCAAGAATGATAGCAATAGCACCAGTGGTGGGTTGCTCCCAGTTCGCACCAGTTCGGGAGAACCGGTAATAAAAATTTGTCATCTTCATAGAACCGATAGTAATGGCTGGCTGGCCATGCCCCCGAACCAGTCCCCTGGTCGCCGCTCGCTCGCCCCGGCCACCATGTTCGCTGCCGCCATGTTATTCACACACATGCATCCCATTGCCTTGCAAGTCCAATGGGATGCGCATGTGTGAAGAACATGGCTGCGAGGGCAGTAGCTTTTTCCATGGCTGCAAAGCTTCCCGGGCCACGGGGCCTCCTCCCCGCCTGCCAGCAGCTCCCAAATCTGCCATCATTGCAGCTGTGGTGGGGAGGGGGGGGCACTGGCTTCGCCCTCCCTGCCACCACTGCCCTTCACAAGTTTATAGTTTTGCCATCTATTTAATTTTTTTTTTTTAATTTGATTTATATGCCGCCCTTCTCCGAAGACTCAGGGCG